ATCAACAGCATGTGCAGGTGAAGGATTTCAGACATGAGCTGGACGTGGTGTTCTTGTATTTCCTTATGTGGTTTTCCCATCCATGACATCGTATGGTTGAATTTTGAACACACTTCAAGGTCTCCTGTTGATGGAGACAAATAGTCACAATGGAAACCTGGCTCTAGCTTAGTGCTGACAAATTTTGGTTTGTTTTGAAAATTTCACATTACACCGTCCCTGTACTTTTTCAGCTTATCATAGGAAGGAACTGTTGCCATGAAATGCTATGCATAACATGAAGTTGAAGAATTTCAGAAATTCAAAAGAGTACGAAAAGTTTTCCTGTGGAAAAACTCACACATCTTTCTATTAAAGAGCATCAAGACTTTCAGGAAACTAATTTTAAAGTCAGAGATGCAAATTCTCACACAGATTTCACAGTCTATTATGTATGACAGAACCATAGCTTTGAAGCAGTGGATTATTTACAGTTTAGCAGAATTTCTTGGCAGTAATTCACCTTCCTGTCATAAGACAGACACACCTCCTCGGCTTTCCCCTCTGAGTGGATAACAAACACCAGGCTCTCTGGCTTATTCCTGGAGTGCCACCTCTTTGAATGACAAAACTCAAAACATTTCTGTCTGTCTCCAGCTGTATTTCAGGTGCTATAGAGAAACCAGCAAAGATCAAGCAATTGCAAACAGAACATGCTCCCACACTCCTGCACCACAGTTACTAGATCCTCAACAAAAAAGTGCCAAAATTCCCAGATCCCTCTTTAGCTCCAGGATCACTTGGCAGCTACAGACGCTTTCATCCAAGGATCCTTGGATTACCTGCCTTTTAGAGAAAGGCTTACAAGGCACAATAATCCTCAAAATACAAACAACCAGCCTGTAAGCATTTTGCCTGTCCATTATCTTGCATTGGTTCAATGTGACTCCTTCACATTCCTGCCTTTTCTCAAGCATGGGTTACATCAGACCTCACTGCTCTTAAGTCCTGTGCTCGTGGGCTGAGGGTAACAGAGCCTGTGTCCCACTCACTCAGCTACAAATGGAAACTCCATGGGTTTATGGCTGGATGGATTCTTTCTTTTCTCTGGATCACTCTGAATGTTTTAACTGAAAGGGATAATTTGACACAATTTCACTTCCAAGAAAATCCCGGTTAAAACACATGATCACAGAGGACTTGATAGTGACCAGAAAAGCTAATGGTATATAGAAGTCTGATTACTTGGTGGATTATTTTTTATTTTCAAAATCTCTAAAAAAAATAAAGTTGGATTTCTATTTTGTAAATATGCATTCATGCCCTGTTTCTTTTAGACTGAAAAACAGAACTCAGAGAGACTCTCTGTAGTAATTTATGCAAATAATCTGCTGATAATGATACACATACTTAATGCTTGTATCATCCTAAATCTTGGAATTCTATGTAAAAAAAAAAAAAAAAAAAGACATTGCTTTTTGCTTAGCAGCATAAAATAGCCCAAGCTGGGACTGCTTTTCTCCCAGGATACATCTTGTTCAGTGGGTCTCCAGGCTGGTTGGTGGAAGTGAAATGCCTGGAAAATGCTTTTTTTTTTTCTTTTTGCTTTCTGTTGGATTTTGGGTTTGTTTTTTTTCTTGTTAGTCTCTGCAAAAATCACCTGTATGAATCCACCACACATCTGACTCATGAATCCTACAACAGCAAAAGAGAGGGACAGGCAGAGAGAAGAAGGACCATGTCCTCTTCAACCCAGATTTCCCAGATCCAACTCACAAAGCTGGACAAGAAAAGGAATGATGAAGCTGAGGACAGAAGGTTGTATCAATACCTACGCGTTAATTCTGTTCCTGAAACTGTTTGCCATCTAGTGGTTTGTTGGCCTCCTATAATCTTAGAAATAGTAAAGACTTGGAGGATATAATTACAAAAAAAAGTTCCCCAAGAACCTATACAAAACCAAAAAAATTACAAGAAATGATGAAGTGCCTCTTGAAAAGTGTTTACCATTAGAATGAATATCCCATAGAGACAAGGAAAAGAAACTGGCACAAAACTGAGATTCAGAGAGAAAATAGGTACCCACGGTTTGTAATTTTCCTATTTTATTTCACTCTGCTACTCTTATTTCATTGAGAAGTCCTGACTTAAATTACTCCACCATTTTCTTAAAGCTTGCCCACCCAAAATTGTACATTATATAGAAATTATGAGGAAATTAGGAGGGCTCTGTGTTTAGGGGTGGTGGATGTCAGGGAGCAGCAAGATTTGGCTGCTTTGTAACAGAAGGTGTGCCAGCAACTAAGCACAACCCCAAGGCAGGTGAAAGCAGTCACTTCATCAACAAAGAGCCAGGATGTAGAGCAGCAACCCAGGGCCAAAATTAGGTCGAGAGACAGCGGTCAGGGTCAGACACAGCCCATATGGTCACCCAGCAGGGCTGCAGTGGCAAGGCAGTCCGAGGCCAAGCCAGGATGCCAAGTGAGCAAGTCTGGATCAGAGCCAGAGCCGTGGAGATGCGAGCTGGTGTGAGCAGAGCTGCTGCCTGGCTGCCCTGCGGCACAGGTGAGGGCTGGCACAAGCCACAGGTTAAAAGTGGCTCTCGAGGGACAGACAGGCCCTGCTGCTGGCTTTTATCACAGCTGCTCTTATCAGTGAAGTAGCTGACCTTGGACTCTGCCAACTAAAGTTCTGCAAAGGGGTAACGTGCTCGGGGCCACGGCAGTCACAGGGCTGGAACAGAGCTGTGGAACATACACAACACAGGGGAAGCAGGTTCATGGAATTGGCCTTTTTTGTTAAAATGGAACATGAGTGAAAACCCCACATGAAAGTAGAACGAAGCAAAGTGCAAAGACCTTACTCTGTTCAGTTTGGGCAAGCCAAGGACTCTTGCTGTTAATGAGAAGCAGGAAAGGACATCTGGATTATTAACTAACCACAGTGATTTAAAGCTCACTGATTTGAGGCTACTGATTTAATTTGTACATGAAAAAATGAGATCAAACACGATCCTGGGATGTATCAGGGTCATACTATCAGAGACACTCAGACTCATTATCTATTGGGGATGCCCTATGAGACCTGAAGTGAATGTGCTAACTACTCACGCATGTTTAACAACGGGAATTCAAACCAATATATGCACAAATGGCTCAGTGGGATAACCAGAACAGTGAGAGTCTCTGTATCAGGGTCATACTATCAGAGACACTCAGACTCATTATCTATTGGGGATGCCCTATGAGACCTGAAGTGAATGTGCTAACTACTCACGCATGTTTAACAACGGGAATTCAAACCAATATATGCACAAATGGCTCAGTGGGATAACCAGGAGAACAGTGAGAGTCTTCTGAATTATGGAAGGATACTAGTAACAACAGTGGCTAAAAAAAGGGGCTGGAGGAGGTACAACAAATGATGGGGTGAACGCCACAAAGAACAGAAAGTGTTTTAATTCGTGAGCAGCCCTGCCTGTGGAAAATTAACATAAATATTCTATACTCAGAATTAAATGAATAAATTATTCAAAAATCGATAAATAATTAAGCTTTCTCCACTTGCAAGGAATGAAATTTTGGGACTATTTTTCAGTGCAATTAATATGAGAAAGGAAACTTTAAGAAATGGATAAATACTTCTTTATTTAGTTGCTTGAGTTGAATGTGACAGCAAAGGCTTACATTAGAATGTACAGAGGGTCCCTTTCAGGCTTATTTCCTGCATTAACCTTTAATTTACAATGAGCAGCCGTCTGGTTGAAGTCAAGCTAGATTATGTGATGTGCTCTTTTGGCATTACAATATTAGTTGTTCAGCTGGAACTGTACGTCTTTAGCTGCATACTGGCTTAAGATTATGCTTATACAACCCCATGCTATAGTGGCAGCATTGAAATAAACTGCATTATTCACCTTCTTTTGTGATACAAAAGAGGGAAACCCAATGAAAATGAAATCTGTATGGTTTATGGAGCACTTGGTTTATGGACAGACAGTTTGGAAGGTCTTGAAAATTCCGCAGGACATTTCCACCAGAACCTACTCTTCTTAAAGAAAATACAGAAGTTCAAGTTATATAGTACATTATCTCCCTCTTCAATCTTAGTCTGATGCAACAAAACTATAAGGCATCAAAAATAATCTTTGCAACCTCAAGTGTATCAGAGGTATCATTCCCTCCTCTTTTACCCCATTCGCTTCCATTCCCATTTGACAGAACTGTTTCAAAGTAATTGTTATATTTCTTCCTTATTCACTCAGAACTCTCCAGTCAGGGTGTGGTAGAATGAAGGGTATCTACACAACCATCTGATCAAAGCTACCAGAGACAAGTTGTGCCTGCATGTGCAGTTTGTGATTGCTCAGGGAGTTTCAAAATTTCCTGTGGCACATATTGGTACTTGAGCCATGCACCATGAATGTTCACCCCCTGCTAGACCCTCTGACAGCAGCACTGCCGTCCATTTGCTGATGCCCGTGTTTTAGACGTTGGATCCCCTGTTGTAAGAAACATAATGAGGAACTGGGAATTTCTCCATAGTCCTGCCTGGACAGCAGAGGCGGCCAGCTCAGACTCCCAGTTGCCAGCTCCATTTCCACATTATTATAAGCTGTTTCAAGGGAGTTCCAAAGAGCACCGACCACTTGCCCAGCCTGGAGCTGGAGCCCACTCCCTCATAGGACAGGCCTCCCAAAGGAGCATTTGGGAAATAGCGACGACCCTTTGGGTGAGTCCAGCGCGTGTCAGCGCCGAGTCCTTGCTGGGACAAGAAATCCCTCGTGGACCCAGCCGGGCAGAGGGTCAGCACGTGTTGGGCTCCATGACTCCGCTCTCCCGGGAAGGGGAGCGCCAGCGCTGGGATCTGGACCGGGGGCGGTGCACCAATATACGAGGGCACCTGAGGGCACCTGAGGGCACCGGGGGCGGGCCCTCGCGCCGGCCCCGCCCCTCCGCGCGCTGCCGCGCACTTTGCGTAACCCCGCGGTCACGCCGGCGGGGGCGGGCCGCGCGCTGCGTAAACGGCTGCGAGAATCGCCGCCGCGCGCGCTGCAGGCGTAAGCGGCGGGACTTTGCCCCCGCCCCGCCGCCGCCGAGCTCAGCGCTGCCGTGCCGCCGCCATGGCCGCCCCGGGGCCGGCGCGGCTCTTCCGGGCCGCCGCCGCTTCCTCCCGCCGCTGGCTCCTCTCCTCCACCTCGCCGGCAGCCGGGCCGAGGCCGGGCTGCAGCGGCGCTGCCGCTGCCGGGCGGGCAGCGCGGCCGTTCAGCCTGTCTGCCCGGGCGGTGCTCAGGTAAGGGGGTCACGGCCGTGCGGCGCCGGGCGGGCTCCCCGGGGCGGCTGCCCGGAGGAGCCGGGCCCGGCCGGGTCTCGGCGCTGCGGGCAGCCGGGGCCAGCGGCTGCCCGTGGCACGGGCCGCCCGAGCCGGGCTGGAGCGGGATGACCTTCCCGCCGTGCCCTGACGGTGCCGGCCCCCTGCGCCCTTCACCGGCTGCTCGGCGGTGGCAGCGAGGCGCCCTGGGCGGCCCCTCCGCCGAGCCGTGCCCCGTAGGGCCGTGCCGGCGCCGCGGGTGGCTCGGCCGAGGGCCCGCACCGGCCCCCGGCGCGGTGAGGCTCGGGGTCGGTGTGACCTGGAGCCCCGCTGGCACGGCTTGTAACGTTGTGGAACGCCAAACCAGCATTCCCGGTGCTTAGACTGGCTTTCTGAGAGGTTATGGCCTTACTAAAGTTGTACTCGTTTTTATTGTTTTCTGTTGCTTGGTTTTGTTTCGGTTTTTGATTTTTTTTTTTCCCCCATGAAAGTCTGGCTGGGCTTGTGGTAGAAGTACAGCACATATCACAGAGGGCTTGTGGTAGAAGTACAGCAAATATCAGAGAAGTGTCTTCTGCCTTTGGTATAGTTTTTCTGTACTGAAGAGCACTTTTGCATCTTTCTCATGGGAGGACAGTATGTGACACTTAGTGCCATGATTTAGGTGACATGGTCATGTCTGTAATAGCTTGGACTTGATGATCTCAGAGGTCTTTTCTGACCTGATTGATTTGATTCTGTGGTTCATTAGGTGACATGGTCATGTCTGTAATAGCTTGGACTTGATGATCTCAGAGGTCTTTTCTGACCTGATTGATTCTGTGGTTCGATGTAAATGTGCAGAGCTCCTCCTCTCCTCACCAGTATGTAAGAGTAGGTATTTCAGAATATTACACAGTCCACAGCTGCAGTTTTGATGCTTATTACAGGTAGTCACAGATTGTTTATGCACTGCCCTCTGGCTTGTTGTTTGTATGTTCAAAGATGGATCAGGTCTACAGCTAACTTTCAGTATTTAAAAAGCAGAAGTTTTAAAAGCCTGATGTATTTGGTTGCCAGAGAAGTTTCCTAGACTTGGAACAGGACTCACAATCAGCAGCCCAGCATCAGGGGTGTAGCCTGGCCTGTTTCCAGAAGATTGAGATTAGTGCCCTTGACATCAAAGCTGTCTCAATATTCTCCTTCTGAACTCTCTTGTAGGTGATCTTTGCCTTTGTTCCAGCAGATACTTTTAATATGGAGAGAGAGGCTTAACTTTTCTAGCCTAAGACTACCATGTGAGATGAGTAAGTCGCTAGTCAGATCTGTTCTCTGAGGGATCCTGCTGGTGTTCAGTTGATTTTGAGGTCCTTAATTTGCAGTTTTTAATTACAAAAATTAAAGATGTGATGCGTTGACAAGTCTTTTTAAAAGGTATTAAAATACTTGGAAAAAGAATCCTATGAAGGGAAGGCATTTCCTTACCCAATAGTAATGTAAGGCCTGTAATCCCCTCGTGTCTTTCACAAACAGGCTGAATACAGAATGGAATTTATTTACATTCATTTAGCAAGCACACCAGCAAAAAAGCTTATGCAAACAAGTGTTTCCAATGTTGTTTATATCCTCAGTGTCATAACCAAGCAAGCTGGGAGAAAAGGGAAGTTCTTGTATATTATTGTTTTCTCCATTTGTGCTTAAGTTACTTTCTCTGGGCAAAGTATTTGAGACCCAGTTCCTGACCTTTATATAATCCACCAGTGTTATTTCAGTAAAAACTTACTCTGAGGGATCCTGCTGGTGTTCAGTTGATTTTGAGGTCCTTAATTTGCAGTTTTTAATTACAAAAATTAAAGATGTGATGCATTGACAAGTCTTTTTAAAAGGTATTAAAATACTTGGAAAAAGAATCCTATGAAGGGAAGGCATTTCCTTACCCAATAGTAATGTAAGGCCTGTAATCCCCTCGTGTCTTTCACAAACAGGCTGAATACAGAATGGAATTTATTTACATTCATTTAGCAAGCACACCAGCAAAAAAGCTTATGCAAACAAGTGTTTCCAATGTTGTTTATATCCTCAGTGTCATAACCAAGCAAGCTGGGAGAAAAGGGAAGTTCTTGTATATTATTGTTTTCTCCATTTGTGCTTAAGTTACTTTCTCTGGGCAAAGTATTTGAGACCCAGTTCCTGACCTTTATATAATCCGCCAGTGTTATTTCAGTAAAAACTTACATCATTGTTTGTGTGTGAAAATTAGCCGTGTTTGTGTCTAGAGGATGAAGACATCACTAGACAAAGCATTACCTGAGGTGGTTCCTGTGAGCAGAGGTTTCCAAGGGTTTCAGTGGAGCATCAGGAATTATGTTTTCATTTTCATTTCCTCCTTTCTCTTGCTCCTTTTTAATTCCTTATTCTTCCTTTCAATTTCATGGTGAACAGTAGTTATTTCAGAATTCTTTTATACCAATCTTGTTATCTGTGCAATGTTTTTCGTGCACAGCATAATAATTGCATGCTTTAAAGATTAGTTCAGATTTACAACTTCTGTTGATTGAGGCCTGTGTAATAGTTTAATTAATGGAACTCCTCAGGCAATTAGGGCTGTTAGATTTGCTGTTTATTAAAAGATCTGAGAATAACAGAGCTGGTCTCACCATGTGCAATACCAGATTAAAGTTATGTTTGTTTGGAGGAATGTAAGAGGTGATTCTTAACTTGGAATTAATAGCTGAAGATTCAAAAGGATAATTCTTTTAAGGGGGAAGAAGTAGTTCTTGAGACTTTTGCAGTATTTACTGTTATTTGCACGAGAGGAACAACAAACAGCATTTACAGCTCTCTGGTGCTCCTCTGTGCCTTTGCAGTATGCCTGATTTAGGGTAACCCCGTGAAGCTTGATAGAAAATGTTGATAGGACTGTGGCAACCATGTGAAGAAATTAATTGTATTTTGCATCTGGTGAAAAGCATTTATCTGAGCATGGATTGGGATATTTATGCTTCGTGCAGATAACACAAAATAAATTGTGCTTTTCCTGCTAATCCTGAGGGTGCTCATACTTGCATGGACCTGGCTCATGTTTCTTGTTAATTGCCTGTGACTGGTTTGCAGCATGCTGGTATTTGGATTGTTTGCATCAAAGTAAACAACTATGTCTGAGTGGACAAACCCCATGTCATTGGAAGTTTATGAAGCCTAAACATTGTTTCATATGGGTGAGATTTTTTTGATATTTTTAATGGTATCCCCCAGTCATTGAGAAGATTGGCTCAGTGTGTTTTGAATGTCTGACTAGTCTGATTATTGCACACACACTTCTGAAAGTATTTCCACCACGTAAAGTACCAGAGATGTTTTAAATATTTTGGCTAGGAGAAGAGTGATAGAAGGTGGCAATAGCAAAAAAACAGATCTACTGAAAGACTTAAGAAGGCTATATCTAACTTTATGCAAATAAGTTTTAGTTTCAATGATAAATCAAGGTGGATTAGGTCCTGTTGAAAGATTAATGATTGTGTCAGTTTTTACCAAAAGTCAGTGGCGTGGTGGTGATCCTTCTGTCTGTCCCCTTGCTGCATGCCACACCACGAGGCACGCACAGCCACGGTGCAGGTCCCCAGCTGGCTGAAGCAAATCTCACATTGCCCCTATCCACAAAGGGATCCCATTGCTGCTTCCTTGTTTTTGTTGTGGGCGGTGGCACTCCTGTCAGTTTTCCTTTCTGGTCTAGTTGAGTCTCCTTTGTTTTTGTGGTTGATTTTCATCCACATTAGCAAAAGGAGTTGACTTGTGGTAATACTGGTGTAAGGATGATGGCAGGGCGATTGGGAGTAGGGATCACCCGAACGCACATTTTTATACTGAAAGAGATTGTTTATTTGTGGTTTAATCTGATCATGAAACCCAGATTCTGTCATTGCAGCACGAAGCTGCAGTAACAGAGCCATTCTAAACTGGTGTGAATTTCATCGCAGGGTCAGATCTGACTCTGCCGGTTCTGCCATCTGTGAGGTTATTGACCTTGGCTTTCAGCCAGCGCATTCCCAAACGGAGGTTACTGCAGGACAGTGTGGGCGCTGGAGAGACGAGGAACAAAGGAGTGGGGGCGGGACTGTTCCTCTGCTGCCACTGTGGTGTTCTAGCAGATTCGAGTGTAACCACAGGTGAAGACAGTTCCGAGTGTGTTTTGAAAACTGGGAGGGAGTTCACTTCTCATTTACAAAAATTGCAGGGATCTAATGGATGCCCAGACATCTTACTGTTTGGTCCGTGGTACTTGTGAGTGCCTAATCCTACAATAAAGCATATGTTTAGGATATTGGAATAAATATTTAGTACCTGCCATGTCTATACCTTGGCAGAGCATAGCCAGAAATGCAAGTACATATTGGATTGTGTCTCTTGTCAGCGTTGTTTTTGTCATGTTGACAGAAATATTTCAGCAAGGGAGAGTGTACTTTGAGCTCTGGAAGGGCTTTTTGAGGCAGTTTAAAATTACACTGTCAGACATTAGCTTAAGCTCTCAGAATGTGAATCTGTACCTTTCCAGATGCAGTCTAAACCCATCTGTCTTAAACTCCCAAGGAGGTGGTGAATTTTGTGCTATTTTATCTCAGTGGGTGCTTGTTTCCTTGGTTCTGCTGTGGGAGGTGTTAACATAGCCGAGGAACAAAATGAAAAGCAGAGTGCTTTCTTAAACCCCCACAGAATGGTTTGCTGATGGTCCTTGGATATCACAGGTGACTGTGCAATGTGAATCCTATTTTGTAAAGATAGATCTTTAAAATTTTTGAAATTTTTATAGTACATGCTTTAAGTTCATCTGCAGGTCAGCAAGGTCAACCCTTCATTATCAATTATAGTTTTGAAATGAATTTATAGTTAATAGTAGCTTGTGGCTGCCTTCTGGAGAGTGGACTGGGGGATGATAGGAGAAGAATTGAACACGACATCATCATAAATAATCAGGGAGCACACTGATGCCAATGGAACTTAAGAGTTGTGGCAAGAGTATGAAGTCCATAGCAACAAACATTTGTTGTTGTTTCATAACAAGCCAGGACTCAGATTGCTAAAAACACATTCTTTTACAGCCAGTTAGAAAAATATTTTGTTCACTGATTTTTCAGCATGGCCACTTTCAAATTTTTGGTTTAATATTCAGATGTATAGGTTAGACTTTTCCAGGGTCTGACTTGATTTTTGACATGTCTTATGGCATCACTCAAAGCCCACAGACAATTAAGAAGAGCATGGGTAATATGAAACATGTGGTTCTTAAACATGGATTTCACATGGAGACATACATTTTTGAATTGGCTTTTTAGTTGTTCTATTTTTATCTGTCATCTCTTGGTAGATTTCTTCACTGTCCATCCAACAAGTTTTTGTTTTGCTCACCTACTGTAGGAAAGTAAATAATCTGTTTAAAATACATACTGTTTGTTATTAGTATATTTAAAGCTTTCCTTTAATTTGTGTGTGAAATAAAATAATGTGGAATTCAGAACATAATTTTTTTAATGTTAAAAGCGTTAATCTTAAGGTATTGTTGTGCAGAATGCAAGTTTTTTTTTTTCTTAAATAGTTGTCTGGAAAGAAAAGCCAAAAAAATACAAAACCTTCTTTTCTTGAAACCAGTGTAAAAACCTTGTACTTCACTCGAATTAATATTTACAAGATGAACTCCTCAGAGAGTCTGTGCCTAAAAACAGCAGAATGTTATTGGACTATTTCCATATGTGAGAAGAGAGAAGAATTTAATTTTGGAACTAATAAAGCGAAATACCTCAAACTCTAAGCAGAAACGGGAAAATTTAGAATTTATCTTAAATGGTAATTTTGTGAAAGACAGAAAATTCATAAATCCAAAGCAAGGGTTCACAGCAAGGTGGTGAGAGAAATATTCAAAATAAGCTCATTTATTTTAAAAATACAAATATTGTGCCTAAAATAAACTGTCTTTGGTGAAAGGTAAAACATCTGGATCACATATAGCTTGTAGTGACAAAATAGACACCAAGGTTTGTTTTTTTCCTTATTTTTAATGGTCTTTGTTCAATGTACAACAGTAAAAGCCTGTATGTGTTAAAGCTTTGAAAAGCCAATAACTTAGATTTCTCTTTTCTTGGAGTTGATAGTAGTAGTATCAACTATTATTTTAGTAGTATTCAATCAATTCTAACGTGCTGAAAAATTATAGTGTTCTTTAATTGTATTATGTAATTTTATTTTTCAGTTCAGAAGATAAAATAACTGTTCATTTCATAAACCGTGATGGTGACAAACTAACAGCCAAGGGAAAACCTGGGGATTCACTGCTGGATGTTGTTGTTGACAATAATCTAGACATAGATGGTTTTGGTAAGTAGATTCACTGAATATTTTCTTCAGTGTCTAGAAATTGTTTCTCTTTATGCATAAATATTTATAGTGTCATTTTGATTGCAAAAGACCCTCAAGATCATTGAGTCCAACTATAAATGACTATTTTATATGTAAAACCTAACTGTACTTCACTTGGGTTTTCTCCCCTTTTTGTCCTCTGGCTGGTGCATAGAATATTTTGGTTCAAGTTTTAAAAAATACTTGGGGTGATTTGGGCTTTAGTGGTAAAGAGGGGAATATGCACAGAGTGCTGTCAAAGTGGCGTGTGAAACATGCTACCTGCAGACCTCTTGTGGGCTGAAAAGTTCTGTTCTGGAGGCAGCATGATTTGGGCTTTAGTGGTAAAGAGGGGAATATGCACAGAGTGCTGTCAAAGTGGCATCTGAAACATGCCACCTGCAGACCTCTTCCAGAGCTGGTGCACTTCTAACAGTGCCTGCTTGCTTCTGTAGTGCCAGACTGTCTCAGTTTATTATCAGGCTTTTTGTAGCACCACCACATCTATAGCAGAGGAGTGCAAAGTGAAAGAAACAACCAAATCCATGTCACTTAGCAGGGAAGAGCAAGGAGTTTCATTCTTATTAAAGAACTGGGGTAAAGGAGATCTTGCGAAATTCTGACTTGGTACAACTTCTGTTTAAAATCAAAACAGGAGGAAGTTACAACTTCTCTCTATTTCTTCAAACTTCTGCACTTTTCATAGTTGGACTCATAGGATGTTTTGGGTTGGAAGGGACCTTGAAGATTGTTCAATCCCAAACCCCCCTGCCATGGGCATCTTCCACCAGCCTTCATTGCTCAAACCACTAGACCACATTGCTCAAAAGTGTTAGGGAGTTGTAATTGAATACCTTGGGAAGGTATTTACATGAACATGAGCTGAAAAATTAATAGAATTAAAGCAGAAAGTGGTAGTACATTTTTCAGAACTGAATGCATAATAGGAAGGAATTGGTGGGGAAAAAAAGCAGCAGAATATTGTAGCACAGTTTGAAATTTGATGTGTGTTTTAGTTAAATGCAAAAAAATTTTACTGCTAATAATAAAATCTTTTATAAGTTTTTAAACCGTATATTTAATATCTGAAACATTTTTATATTTGGGGAAGAAAAACTGTCTCAAAAGTTTGTGTTGCAACTAGCTTTATGTATCACTTACTAAATTACTCATTTAGGCTTATGGCTCATCTGCTTGTATTCTGCAGTAAATGTTCTCTTGTCAATGTCAGCTGTGTTAGAGCATTGTGGTAAAGTGGGAAAAAGCAAGGCTGTCAATAAAAGGAAGCCAAACTGAAAATTTGGAATATTGTTACAGTCTTTAATTATAATATATACTAGTCCCATTTCAATAACTGCTTGCTAATGAAATGTTGCACTAGGGCAGAGAAATAATGTAGTAAAAATGTATGTTCTGTGTTAAGAAAAAAGTAATGAGGGAAAAGTAAAATCTAAATTCTGCTTATTCTATCACTAGGGGGCATCCCATGTGCACTAACAATAATAGAAATATATTTGTGTAAAGGCTTACAGATCTATTGAATGATTCAGCTGCACTCAATTTGTTTTATGGTTGTGGAAAGACCTTCCACTGTTCAAAGAGACTGGTCAGTGTTCTTTCCTTCCCCCCTCATCCCTTCCCTCACTTCCCCAACATAAATTGATCCTTTAGCTGCTGATAGGACAAATTTTATTTGGCATTTTAATTAAGCTCTGCTTTCTCATGCGTATTTGAAGACATGATATAATTCAAAAAGCAAATGTATTACAGTGTTGTGCTCACCCTGAATACATGCTTTTGGTTCTGTAGCAGCATGAGGCTTTCTGCTTGGTTCTTATGGTCTAATGATGGGTTCCACTATTTCTTTTTGTATCAGTGGTTATACATACAACCATGCTTCTTATTTCCATGATTACAAAGGTGATGTGGCCACAGTAGTTTTGGTTCTGCTCTCCCTAGACACAAGTAAATAAGTGAAGATTGGTTAATGTGTTATCTGATTCTCTTGTATCAATTTGAATTAGAGCCTGAGATTTGTAATCTCCACAGTATTTAGCTCTCCCACTCTTCTTGAAGGTGCATATTTCTTTTTCAGCACTGTGGAGAACTTGGTGCCAGCCCAAGACACAGCCCAGTACAGTGACAAATTTGTTATGGATCAAACTTTTACTGTGCTGTGGTGACCTAATTGCTGTAGGAGGCAGGTGGAGTTGGTGCTTGTGCTGCTCTGCTCCAGCAACTTGTTAGGTCCTTGACTTGTACTGGAACACCTCATAATCCATGCAGGCCATCTCTCTCCAGCCTGATTACCTTTGTTGTTGTCAATTAGTATTCTGTTGAGTGAGAAGAAATAGGTATAAAATCCCTCCTCCCTGTACTTCTAAGGAATTGTTTTTGTTTAGCAGGTGTCTGCTGCTGAACTTCTAGAGAAAATCTTCTCAAAACCTTGGGAAAAAAGAGAGATAAGAAGGATCAGTATTGGAAATAAATGAAGTAGTGTTGATGGACAGCATTGTCTGCTTTTGCATTCTTATACTAGAAAGCTATTCTTTCTTTAAATGGTGGGAAGGGAATTAATTATTTTAACTAACTAATGTAGCATTTTTTAACTAATTACTTAGCATTTAAGTACATTTTAGTACTATAGTAACTGTAGAAATGCTATTAATAGTTGAATGCAGAGTAGGTATATGAATGTGGGAATATACAGAACATTAATTTTGCTAATCAACTGAGACTTCTTGTATGAAACAAACACACAGGATTTCTTCTGAAATTCAGCTGCAATTTGAAACTTAGATTTTCTATTATCTTGATTTATTTTTCTTTAGGTGCATGTGAAGGAACGCTAGCCTGTTCAACTTGTCATTTAATATTTGAAGACCACATATTTGAGAAACTAGATGCAATTACTGATGAAGAGATGGACATGCTGGACCTGGCTTATGGCCTCACAGAAACGTAAGGCAACATAACACTTCCCTACATTACTTCTTCAAAGAATGGGAAGAAAGGCTTGCAGATGGGGCAGTCCAATATTCTTGGAGCACCTTAATCAGCTTTTAAGGAGTAGCTGGATTCCATTACACGGGACTGCCAGGTTTAAGTGTTGTTTGTCTGAATTAGTATTTAGAAGATGTCAGTATTGTTTTTGTGACTGAAAAATGTCAGTACTTGGTCTTCAGAGGGGTCTGGTACAGAAATGTTAGCACTAAAGTGTGTCTGGAAACCCGTTTTCTTCCATGAAAGCTCTGCCAATGCTGTCCTGTGTGTGGATTTTCTTATTCTTGTTTCTCCTCCCTTCTGTTTCCTTTCCCTTGTTAGTCTGTAGCTAGTTAATGTATTTTATGAATGTGTTTATGTCAGTGTTTTAGGTTTTGGTCAGATCTTCTTTTCAGACTCACAGAAGGCTTGAGGTTGGAGGGGACCTCTTGAGGGCAACTGGTCCAGCCCACTGTTCAAGCAGGACCACCTAGCACCATGCCCAGCACCATGTCCAGACAGCTTTTGAATATATCCAAGGATGGAGACCCCACCTTCTCCAACCTCTCTGGTATTTATGTACCAAGATCCTTCCTGCAAGCCTTCTCTAGGACAAACAGCATAGAGATATGTCAGTGTACATACTTGTTATGCTTTGGCTCATATCACAGATTCCCTTTTGGGAGAAACTGATCCTGAAGTGTGCTGACTGCTGATAGGCATTAGGATTAGACTAGTGGTACTCTAAACTAATCCTCTGTTCTGCATCACCCCCACCATCACACATCTTGTAGTTAGGGTGTTAATCCTCATCACAGACCTGTTCCTGGTGGGCCGTTGTACTTGCTGGTGCACAAGTAGCCTTTACCTCAGAACATGCTCACACAAACAGTAGGCAGCTGTGTCTTATGAGGTTTCATAAGCCCATTCCTTCATGTTTCAACAGAACTGCTTGTTGAAGTTTTTGATCATCTTTCTGGTTATGTCAGAGGCTTTATACCTGGTCTGTATAGCATAGAGTTTGTGTCTCTGCAAAGTACTCTGAATTAACTTGTCTGTCTCCTTGTATCAGTAAAAGGAATCCTATACTTGCCATTTCTACAAGACACTTTCTCACTTCAGCCAAATTTGAACATTTATATGAGGTTGGAAAGGCAAAGAAGTCAAGCTATGAGAAACTTGTAGCTTCTTTTGTTTTATCATTTTTCCTGTCTCGCAAAAACCCAGTTTCAGTTTTGAGAAAAAAAACATAGGCCCATTAAGCCTGCCATCTACCATAAGAAAGAGTAGCTTTTAGGCTCAGGGCCAGAATAATTCCCGAATAGCTCTGGAGGCATATGATCTAATAAAAAACCTTTTTTCTTTGGCTACCTTTTACGTAAAGGTTAAAAGCAAGGAGATTTTACTGAAGAATTGGAAAACAGTAGCAAACCAGCTCTCTGTTTAAGTGTCTAAGTTCTGTCATAGTTATAAGCATAGCAATTTATTCTTGTCAGTGACTCTGTACTTGGGAAAGCTTCAGCCAGCAGCTGCCATGAAAGCTCATGTTTTTTAAAAGGAAGGATTAATTAGGTTAAAATTAAATTGTTTTGATTAACTACAGAACAGTAGAAAGTAGTACAGTGGGGGAGTGCAAACCCTGGCAAGTTAAAATAATAAAGCAAAAAATAAGATGAGAAACAGCTTGCAAAAGTAGGCAAATATTTTTGTTTCTAACCTATCAGCAACAGGAAACTTTGTCTACATGCCGAGCCAATGGGTGATGTAGAAGGTGCACATAAAATAGAAAAAGGTAACATAAAAGCCAAGTTTCTTTTGCATTGTTATCTCTAGGGGTTTTATGATCTGTTCAGGTACTGGAAGGTTTCTTTGCACAGGATGTCCTGGTGTATTATGTGATCTTCTTTCAAACCAATGTGTCCATAAAAGTAGTATTACTCATACTAATGAAAAACCTAAAAATTACTTCTTCATCTCAGTGACTTATATGAATAATAGAAAGATCTTGCAGTTCATGCAGTTTACTTAGGTCTAGAAATTGTTTACTAAATTTTGAGGTGCAACAGCATAAGAACAGGGGCCCTGTAAAGGCTAAGTAATTGGTTAAACCCCCCACCCCCATCTTTTAACAAGAAGTATTAAGCTGCCTGGTAAGGGTATGTGATCAACAGCATGATGCAAAAGTGATTTATGCTAGGTTTTAATTAGTGTCAGCATCCTTGTGAAAGACTTTAGGAAAACAGTGAGGAGTAAGGGTTGTTTATGGTGCTGTGGTAATATCACCTGCCTGTGAAAACATGCAAGAGGATTTTATGACATTTGGAGTTAAAAGGCAAATTCATATGGATACATATGTATGGAGACATGGATAAAGGAGTGGGAACTTTGCATTCTTGAAACAGTCTGTCATCTAGTTAGTGTCTTGCCAGGGACTGTTGCTATGGAATGTTGCCCATCCTTGCTGATGTCTTTAGTATTCTATACTTAAATACTGAGACATGGACATTGAATTAAAGTTATCTCAGCAATAAAAGCAGCTTGTCTGCAGAATTATGTTGTGGTATTAAATCTTCTGGTTTTAATTGCTTATGTGCAACATCTGGTTTTCTTGTGCTGAATGATAGGTGTAGAAATGAAGGATGACATCTCTGGTGCCTTGGGTGTGTTATCCTTCACCTTCCTATGTTTCTTGTCTTTTCACTCTTACTTGTCTGGCTTACACCCAATCTTCAGTTTTTTAGTTTGAGAACACTGAACTCTGGATGGAGGGGCTAGGCTTTGTTTTTTCTGAGGCTTTCATTCAGATTCATTGCCTTTATCTCTTCAGAGGTGCCAGATGTCCCTTGGGAGATCAAGCATCACTCCCTGCACTGGTCTGACCCATTAGTGACCCACTGAAAAGGGAAGGGTCACCCATGTCCTGCACTTTCTCAGTGAGCAGGAAGTACTCGGCTGCGGGACTTTCCAGTGTGCTGAGCTCTGTTCTGGCTGTAAATCCTGGCTATTGCCACACAAATCCTTGTGCTGATGCACGTGGCTCACTCTGTGCTGGATTAAGGCCCTGCACAAGAGTGGCTGTTCCTAGTTCATGGTCTGTTTGGGATGGCTGAGTGTTGGAGATGTAAGGGGGTAAATGCTGAGATTGCTGGTGGGCTGGAACTAACAAAAATGTCCTGTTTCCCCACAGATCACGTTTAGGCTGCCAAATCTGCTTGAAGAAATCAATGAATGATATGACTGTTCGAGTACCAGAAGCTGTGGCTGATGTTAGACAATCAGTAGATATGAGTAAAAACTCCTAAAAGAAAATATCCTAGGGGTTTTAAAGAAGCTTAATTATTTTTATAACTTATTTTTAAATGTGTAATTAAATATGGAAACTTACATAATTGTGAGTTATTTTATATGACTATCAATATTAGATTAATGCTATTTTAATTTTCTTTATAGAACCTCTTATATTTTTACGCTTAAAATGCAATAATACTTCTTATAAGTAATCATTGGATTATCAACATGAGCAAGTGTATTACAGATTTCATATAACATTATTCTGCCAAGACATTTAAAAACTGGATCACCTGTACAGGGCTTCTCCTAAAACAAACTCTGAGTACTTCTCGGTGTCAGAGCTGAATTTGTAAGAGAAACGAACTTGTAGGACTGCATGGGGTCTTTTTGAAGTGTTGCCATTAAAGATGGTGTGCTCAGAGCTGGTTAAAATTCTCAGTAAATATGATACTTCCTCAGCAAATAGATTTTCAGGATAGGAATTTTCCAGACTTTGGAATCTTAATGAGATGTGGCAAATGTTGTGTTGTGAAAATACTGCTAAACCCATGAGTTCTAGGAGCTGTGTTACGGTTTAACCCAGCAGGCAGCTAAATGCCACACAGCCATTCACTTGCACCCCACCACTGCCCACCCCCCTTCCAAATGGGATGCTGGGGGGGGAAAGTAACATTGATATGTTGAGATAAAGACAGTTTAATAGGACAGAAACAGAAAGGAAAACAACAGTAATGATGACAAATTAAATACATAAAACTAGTGAGGCACAACACGATTGCCCACCACCTGATGGCTGATGCCCAGCCAGTTTCTGGGCAGTGACCCCAGGCCAGCTTTTGCCCCAGCTGATCTTTTGAGCATGACACCATACGGTGTGGGACCTCCCATTGGTCACTGGGGGTCAGCAGTCCTGGCTTTGTGCACCCCCACAAGGTGAGGTGAGAATCTGAAAAGGCCTTGACTGCGTTGTTGCTAAGCCGTGTTTACATTAAAACACCAGTGTGTTATCAACATTATTCTGATTCTAAATCCAAAACAGCACTGTACCAGCTACTGGGAATAAAATCAGCTCTCTCCCAGGTGAAACCAGGACAGGCTGATGCAGGATGTTGGCACCTGCAGCTTAACCCTGGCCCAAATAAGATGTCAGTAAACCTCAATAATATTTACATTTGACTACACCACAAATACTGTGGTAGACCAGGTTTAGAAGAATGAATCCTTGGAGCTGTGTAATGGGAGAACATACACAATTTACCCATCACAAACTCTTATCTCTGAATATGGCTGAGTTGGGATTGAACAGGGCAATGTTTGTCAACATCAGATTTGTTCTGAAATCTTTATTCCTTTTTAGTTTTGAGCTTGTGCAGGAAACAGTCTGACATTAGCTAGGGTGTTCAGCTTGAAGAAATTGGTTGATTCTGGGCCTTGCTCACAGGATCATTTCAGTAATGGTTGATGCAAAATTACCAAGTTTATTTCAAAAAAATGGTCTAGGTTCCCTGGAAGGTACAGGGACACCCCTGTGGTAAGATGTCTGCACTGATGATGAAGAGCTTCCAGCTGAATATTGGTTTAGTCTTTCTAAAGTAACCCAAATAAAAGAATGTTTCTAAGACTACTATTATCTCCAACTTTACAGAAATACTTATGTGAACTGGTTATCACCAGTACTTATTAACTTTTGATTTTTTGGGCATTTATATAAACCATGTTTTTTGCATTTGGATGATCTAGTGTGTTCATTAATGGTTTGAACTGATAACAATGCCATCTGGACATCTTTTCTTGTATTGTTGTATGTGTGGAGAAGAGAAGTTATTTTTCCAGTGTCAAATATTTGCATTATTTTGAGCTTCATAAAGAGGAAAAAAAAGTTCCTCTTTGTTATAAGAATGAATATTTTCTAGAACTGTATTGGAAATAGATATGGATTAGATTATTTTATTCCCTCTCTTAGTTACCTCATTTCCTTCTGTTACCTTCCAACTTTGTCCTAATGCAAGGTATACTAATTGTAGTCTGCTCAAAACTTAATCATGTAGGGGTTTCAGAATACAATCTGATGTAATCTGATTCAAACTAAAACTTCAGAATTAAAATTTCCAGGCTTTTATGAAGGGCAGAGAGAGGAAGGGTGGGCATAAATTGAAGAAATGTTCTGAAGATGCTGCTGTCTTCTTTTTCTGCTGCTGTGACACTAACTGTGACTGAGAGGTTGCCCTCACACAGTCAGACATTAAGGTAAATCTTACCTTGTATTGCCTTTGTCCTGAGCTCATTTATGTAGTTTTTACTATTAAATCTTGAGGTTTTGGGGTTTTTTTTACATGAGACAGCTCATCAGCTTCCAGGAGAGGGAACTTGGGTCATGACCGGATGTGTTGTGCACTTGTACATCAGAAAGAAACATGAGGTTTCAGTATACCTGTGAGGTTTAGGGGTAGGTGTTGATATTTACTGAGTTTTGGGCTCTTCTTGGTTTTTTGTTTTAGGCTTATGGGGGTGGGTTTTTCCCCTTTTGGGTTATTTGGTTTGGGCTTTTTTTTTTTTTTTTTTTTTTTTTTAATACAGCACCAGGTACTTCTTGTGGGAATCTTGAAGTGCTTTACACTGTGTTAAACAAATGTGGAACAGCTCCCAAGTGAGTTTTCTTTCCAAGCCAAGGTGGTTTTGTTGTGTGTTTCGTGTGACAGCTTCTCCTTACAAAGACTTTGACTCTCCTACAGTGTGCCTGTGGAATGAATTACTCATCACAGCAAGGCAAAAAAGGACACTTCGAAGTTCATTTTGAATTCTAGAGGTATCCCATAGTGCATGCAAATGGAAATCTCAGAACACAAAGGAACTGACTTGTAGTCCCCAAAATGCACAGCTCAGAGATACTAGTTTATTGTCAAAATTATTTGCAAATAAATCTTATTTTTAACTTCTTTCTGACACGTTTTGTGGAGTTTTCTTTCCTTCTTCTCTAAGCTATTGAATGTATTTTTCAGTGAAAAATGGAACTTACCCATGAATTTTAACGTGTAAGTATGAATTCTTGTGCAGTGACACACAGTTATGGCATCAAAATTAGTTGAATACATGTTTACTTCCCTGTTCAAATAAAGATTACAGGTAATTTGCTTTCTAAAATCATTTCCTTTCTCTGTTAAAAGATGGGGTCAGTGTGTTTCTTCTGTCTCTTCCCCCCTCAAAAATTAGGAGCAAATCAAAACTGTTTTCTTTGTGTTGTAAACTAAACTTCAGAAATCATGCTCAAAAGTCTGGGGCTGGCACAGACCCTTACCTCACAAGCATTGAGGGAGTGGTGGGTTGTAGTGTCTTCTGTTGCTGGTGGGTAAAAAGGTTTTTTGGATTGGGTTGTGTTTGTGAGAAAGGCCAAAACCATCCCTCTCCCTTCAAGGGTGTGGGGGAACTTGTCTGTGGCTCTAGACTGTCCCTTCCTCTACTGCCCTAACCCACAGTCAGGCCCGAGCCAGCGGACTCTGACATTTTGTGGTATGTTTGTGTGGTGTGTGAAGGGGAAAGAAGGGTGTGCCTTGCATCATTCCCACACCACCACGTCTCCATCTGTCAGAAGTTCCCATTATCTGGACTGCAGGCTCTTGCGAGAGCAAAAAAGGCAAGTTCTGTAGGCAGTTTGTGTCTTTTCAGACAAAAACTAAATTTGAAAGTTCATTGGTTTTGGCTATGGGGCTCCAGAGGATTTAAGATCTGTGTCCAAAGGCAGTTCACATCCCAGTTGGAGGCAAGTTGAAAAGGCCGTGTCCAAAAAAGCTGCAGGGAAGAAGCAGTGCTTGCCCTTCCCATAGGTCCAGGCTGGAGTGTGAAGGAGATTTCCTACAGCCTATGTTTTGTCCTTGCACGGGACAATAAGGTATACAAAGATAGGGTATACAAAAAAAATCCTTATTTCTTGGGAAAAAAAAATCTTTAAAGGCGGAGAGGAGATGTTCAAGCTGAGTCAATGAGTTACCAAATAGTAGAAAGCATTGGGAGGAGTGCAGCTGCTTGAGATGATTTCTCCTTAAGAGAGCTGAAAAGATGTGAGAGTGGGAATTTCCTGCATGGTGGCTGGGGCTGTGGTCTCTCAGGGTGGCCGTGTAGCCTCGTGTCCTGCTGCGGGCTGCAGTGCCTCGGTGCCTTCTCCCTGTTGTGCTGCCAGGAGAGTGACAAGAGGCACAGTCCATCCATAAGCAAACAAGCATTAAAGTATAAACGATGGCATTAAAAATAACCCTGAGACTGACTTTCTAATCCACTGGCCACCACTTGCTTTTTATGGAGTTAAGCAGAGGTTTTTGAGGTGAAGTAGTCTACATTTCAAAATGTCTTTAAAAAGTCATTTCTAGCCGGCAGTGGTTTAGCATTTGCAGCTTCAACTCTTCATCAAAAAGCTGTTGGCTTATTGTGCTCCACCAAGCGTCTCTGGGGCTGCCCTTCACAGTCCTGGGAGCTCCCTTGACCCCAGCCCAGCCAGGAAAAGGCTGCTCCGTGCATTTACACTGCCCCGTGTGCTCAGGTCCAGCCGGCATCGCGTTCCCTGCGCTTACCACCTTCCACAGCGCGGTGCCTCCCCCCGAGCCGGCACTAGGGATCTGCGAGAGATGAGAGAGTCTAGCACGGGTCTGAGCAGGCTGGGTGCCCCCTTCTTTGCGTCCGCTCCCGTTCGTGGCCCACAGAACCTGTGTTCCAGGCATTGCCTCGGCTGGTGCTGACCCCAGGCGGTAAATCCCTGCAGCACAGCGCTCCAGGGATGAAAACCCGCACATGGGAGCGTGCTGGGGCAGCCCCGCTCGGGCACCGCCCCGGCGGGCGCTGCTCGCTCTGCAGCCGGCTCGGGGTGCGGGCAGCGCCGGGAGCGCGGGGCTGGCGCTGGAAAAGCGCTACTGCTGCTTCAGGCCGGGCTGCAGGGCTTGGCGTGTGTGCCAAATCAGCCGCAGCTGACAGTGACACGCAGATGCACGGACACACGGCCATCGGGCACACGGAACGCCCCAGCCCCGCAGGCACCCGTGCCGCCCTGATTTTTTAAGATTTTCTAAGCCTTCTGGTGTTTACATTCTTGTAACGAACTTTCTCACACACTTTATGTAAATAGCTTATTGTTTTGCATTCTTTTATGGAGGAGAAGAAATTTGATGGACTGTTGGTTTGTCCAGTGTCATTGGAGAGGTGGCACTTTCACCCTCCAATCCACTGTCACTTTTGGAAATCTATAAATGTTGGAGTCAGAAAATAAACTTCCCTTTTACCTTGAAAGTAGCAGCATGTCCGCATCGTGTTATTTCGTGTAACACACCTGCACTTTTGGCCGTGAGCCCTGCCGGTGCCTGTGGGAGTGGTGGCTTCCCGGGACAGCCCTGGGAGCAGCCCCATCACTGCTCTGGTGCGGCCATGGGGTTCCCTGCTTGTCACCGTGTGTCTGCTGCCATCCATCAATCACACAGCCTAACTGTTCAACACCCTGCTTGTCACCGTGTGTCTGCTGCCATAGCTTGGTGGCAGTGATCCATCAATCACACAGCCTAACTGTTCAGCGTGGGACATTTGTGCTCCTGGTTTCTCCAGCAAGTGGTCACAACCGGGGATGCTGGTGCCACGTTAAGTGACCTCTTCCAGATACTCCAGGGAAGCCTGCAGGCTCCTGTGCAGCTGTACCTGCTCACAGCCGTGGCTGATTGGGTTCTCCTGTTGGCAGCAAACTGCCATTGGCATCTGGGGGCTGAAATCTCTGGGTTTGGAGAAGTCTGCCATCTCGCTGAAGGAAATACCAGGCCACAGAAAGCATTCCTCCTTCACGTTGATAAAAAAATGCCTTTCTTAAGGATCCAGTTTTGGATCAAACAAATATCCAGGTAAGTTGGATGTTCTTGCTCCATCCAAGTGCATCTGAACAGACTCAGGGGCAGGTCAGCAACTCGTTTTCATTTAATTCTTCTTCAAGGAGCAGCCCTGCTTTGCATAGGTAAGCTAGCACTAGCTTTTGATATGGTGAGTGCTCACAGGCTTTACTGGGATTGGCTTGGAATTAGAAGGGTATTCCTTTTCTAGAAAACTCTGACTGGAGGGGAGAAAGAGAAGGAAACAGGACACAAGATCCCAGTGATGCAGCTGCAGCTGTTCAGATCCAAGAGAGAGGCCGACGCGTCCCACCCAGGGAGCAAGAAATGGGTTTTGGCTGCAGATTAAAGGAGAAGGTGTCATTTCCGAGGAATGTTTAGCAACAGATGAAAATAACTATAAAAGAAAACAAATGTTGTCACAGAGATGAGGAATATGGTAGCTCAGAGTGACAGGGAAGCTTGTTCAGGCTGTGGTTCAATTCCAGGGACTGATGATTGTCAGGAGGGAGCACAGCGGGGGATGGCTGGAGCAGGAGAGTCTCTGCTTCAGATTTCAGCACTTTCTAGTTTTTTCTTCCAGCCTAATTGAGTCATTATGATCATCACAGCTTTTGGAATTGCATCAGAAAATCAGGAAAAACATGTCCTGGCATGGAGAAATAAAAGCAATCAATGTCCCTTGTCTTGAAGTTTCCTGCCCTTCTGGGGCTGTCCTTCCAGGAGGAGGGCAGCAACAGGAGTCTCTGAGGCAGAGGTCTGGGGAGCAGAGCAGAGCTGCCCTGAGGGTGATTGTTGTCCTGGCAGGGAAGCTCAGGAATCTGGGATCTCCCTCTGCTGAGTGATGTATACAGAAAATGTTTTTCCAGCTTGAAGAGCCTGTGTCTGAGCATTCAATGTGAGCTTCACATTAAATATTACCTTCATTAAAAACCTCATCACTGGTCTTTGTTCTCTACTGTTTTGCCTTTTATTAAATATTTGGTTAAAAAAGGTTGGGAAATACCTAGCTTCTGAGTTGCCTGTTATAGCACTTACTTATAGCCTCCATTTTGGAGGCAAAAATGCTTAAAGGGGGCACAAGATATCACAGATCTTTACAGCAGCACCCAGAAATGAAGGGGGAAAGGCAATTACTGGGAACAGGAGTTAATTCTTAGAGTAAAAGTACAGAGTAACCACCAGATATTTGCTGTGGTGTTTCACTGCTTATATAACTAGTTAATCAGTGCTGCAAACTACCCAGCACTGGGCTGCTCCTGGTTTACCATAAAGCCACCATATATAATACTCTTAATCCATTTCTACTTCCTTCCAGCTGAAAAGTCTCCATAATGGCTCTAATCACAGGAAATTTGTAACATTAACATTCCCCTGAGGGATGGGTACCAGAAGTTCTTACTCTCTGGCAAAATAATTTCCCCAAATCTTTTAGCTAGTGAGTAAAAATCAGCTCAGCTTGAGCTGCAGGGTAACCTGTGCAAGTGCAACTGACCCAGGACCTGACGTGCTGCCCAATGCAGGCACGGGCAGCAGTTTGTGTTTTCTGCAATGAGATGCTCTTTACCAGACCAATAGGGATTTTTTTAGCTCCTTAAAATCTGGAGTGCACTCAAAAATACATGGAAAGGTTTTTTTGCTGTAAACTCATGTTCACCTTCAAGGCCAGATGGAGATCCATGTTAATTAAGGAGTTCATTCCTGCCAGAAAATTGGATGGATGCTGCTCTGGCAGCATGTGTGAGTCTGTAAACACTTGACCCAAATCCACTGAGGGAAGGAAAAGACCTTTTGCCAATCTTTGCCACTTGCTCCTCACCTCTCCAAAATAAACCCACTTGTATATTTTGATTTAGCTAAAGTGTTTAATCAAATTGCATTTGACAAAAGTCACAGTACTATTCCAAAAGTGAAAACCACAATATTTCTTCAAGAGCACACTGAATATTTGGATATAAAAAGCCCACATGGCCAGGCTCCATTGGGGCATGCAGTGAGCTCCCAGCCCTCTCTGCTGTTACTTCCTACACTGATTCTGCAGGAGAGCCTGTGATTTATTGACTGTTCCCTCCCACTGCATTGCCTGCAGCTTCTTGTGACTTCCACTCACTCAGAGGGTACATCTGTTTGTCTTCTGCTCAATTTATGTCCTTTTTATGGTGTTCCTTTGTCAGAGAGACATCAGGTATGCTGCAAAAATTTTCTTTATACCACATAAGTCAATATTTGCATTGAAAGCAAGCTCTGCTCATTCCAATAATGAAAATCCTCAGCTTTATCTGACTTTCCAAGTAAGAGAACCATGATGCCCAGAATCCCAGTGGGGTAAAGTGCTGGTAGAAATACAAGCTCTGCAGGAGCTGCCAGAGGAAACAGGGAAGGGGCACAGGAGCAGCTCCTGGCTCCAGTGCCACATCACTGGCTGTGTCCCCTATTCCATGCCCAGGACCTGCAGGAGGAACCCAGGGTGTGAGCCCAGCATGACACTGCTGCACAGCTCAGCACTGAAGGAGCTGCCCAAAGGAATTTGTGGAGCAGACATTCCCAGAGCCACACAAAGCCAGAAAACCTCAGGTCTCTGCTGCGTGGTTCCTGCCAGAGCTCCTGCTGGAAGTGCTGGAGCTGCCTTGGGTGGCTGAGCAGGGAGCAGGAGACAATTTAATTGGTGACTGCACAAAAAGCCACATCCAAACAGCTTCATCCAGCCCCATGGCCTCTGTGTGCTGCCTCTGCCAGGCACAGCTCTCTGCTCATGCTGCTGGCTTGGATGTGCTCCTTAGAAATATTACCATCAGCTCTTCTGAAAAGATGAAGCAGCAGAAGTCTCATGGAAAAGGTAATTAACTTCTGAATTTTTCGAATTCTTTTTTTCCCATGTGAAAAAAAAGTGTGGAATCTGAATATTTTTCTTTGTGTATTTCTCTTCACACATGCTCTTCAGTGAAGCAGTTAATTTAGAATGTGTGTGCAGGAAGTCAATTCTGGTTGGCACATGATGCCATTTAATTGTGCTACACATGTTCATAATGTTTTCCAAGTCTGGTAAATACTGAAATTATCTCTCTATAGCACAGGATCTAACAGGTCTTTTCTAATGTTGCATTATTTCTCAAAATGATGGACAGAAGGGTGTAAACCCCAGCAATCTGCCTGGGGAGTGACACAATCTCAGAACAGTTTGGGCTGGAAGGAATGCTCAGAGATCACTGATTTCAGCCCCCAGTGTACTTGATGAGGCAACTGCATAAACTTTGTGCATCTGGTAAGTTTGTTGCATAAAATTTGCAGTGTATCTGTTAAGTTTATTGCTGATCTTGTCCTGATTTTTTTTGAGGAAATTGATTACTGAAATTTGGTGTATTTTTACAGACTTTATTAGTTTAATATGTTAAATAATTTGTGGCACATTATAAAGCAGTTCTCATTAACATTTTTTTTTTATTATTCCAGGAGGAGTAAAAAAAAATAAATTACTCCAGGATATCAGGAGTATTACCCAAGACATTTTCTCAATGGGCTTTAAAAGTGGTTTTACTGCTGTTTTTTCATAAATACAAATGCCAAGAATAAGGATTCAGTTGAAGAGCTAGTTCAAAGGTTATTCTTAGTGTAGAGCCTCTGGTGTGACATATGTGAACCCAATGTGTCCTACTCTGGCAATAACTGAATAATCACCATGGGGATAAGTGGCTTTAGAAGGCAAAACTGTTCTCCTAGGAAAAAAAAAAAAAAAAAAAAACAAAACAGAGAAAGCTCTTCAGAGATCAAGGCTGAGAAGGAAAAATGCTAATTGTTAGGAAACCACTCAGCTGGAAAAATAGCCAAGTCCATGGAGTCCATAATTTTTCATATGTGAAGTAATAATGAATTTCTCATTGATGTTTTACCTTTTGAAAGCAGCTGGATCCCTTGAGAATCAGAAGCTGAGAGCCAGAATTGGAGTGCTGTGAATGCACATCTCTTGTGAGTAACTGGGTTCTTCTGGGTCTTTATCAGCTCTCCCAGTTAGTCAGGTTTGGTGACTAATGGTCACTCAGTTTTTACCCAAATAATTTCTAAGCTTACATATCTTGCTTCTGGTGATGGGATTGGAGTGGGTGGGAGGTGCCTGGAGGGCCAGAGAGGTTGTGGGTAAAAAAACCCAACATAGGTCTAAGAAAAGTTATTTTTAAGTGTGCTCTTCCAACTAGGTTGTAATTATTTAACATTTTTCAAGATATACCCAGAAGGGGGAGAAACCTTTGTGATCTTGTGTGGATCTTTTTGTTTTCCTGTCAGTCTGCACAGAATATGTAAATTACTATTACTATGTAAATAGATGCTATCATTTGTCTTGGGAAATTAAGGAACTTAGAGTGGGAGGATTAGAGACAGTTTTAATCACCCCTGGCTCTGCATCCAAGGAGATGGATGCAGAGCCAGGGGTGATTTTTTGTGATTCATCTTCATCATGGGCAAGGAACTGAGGGCTGTGCCTCAGAAGGTGCAAACCCTTAGGTCCATTTCCCCCTGCTGAAAGGCTGACTTTTAATCTCCCCATTTGTGGATCTTGGGCTGGTTTAGTATGAAGGGGGTTTGATGTGGTGCACCTCTGCTCCCGGGGCTGTGTGCCCACTCCCTGCACTGTCCTGCCTCCTTGTGGGAGCCTGTGGCTCAGGGACCCTGCTAGGGCACACTCACAGCCTGTGACCACCAAGGCACTTCTGTCTGGCAGAGTCCCTAGCAGTGACACAGGGTAAGGGGTGATCTGAGCAGTCTTTATGGCTCACTTCTTTCCCATTAATCTCTGCAGGCAGGCTTTTCATTTTGGTTTGGGTTTTTTTTAATTGTTTGGGGAGTTTTGATGAAGGTTGGCAGTCACCTTAGTCTAGCCCAGTGCTTCATGGCTTCTTTCTGCTCACTATGTGTTTGCTGTGCCTGTGTGTGGTTTAGGGTGGGTCTACATTTTGTATTTAATGCAGCTCTATGTTCAAAATATTTGCTAATCCCAGTTTTATCAGGGACTATGCAACCAAGCTGCTTCATGAATCCTCTCTACCGAATCTTTGTTGTTCAAATGGAATTTGAAGCTCAGATTGACTCCTAAGCTCTTCTTTTTTACCGTGTGCATTTCCAATTGATCTCTGAGTTGAGTGTGTCTGTGCTGCTTTCTTGTTTTCCAGGTTAGGACAGTCCCCTTCACAACAGAGTACCTTTCTGTCTTAGGAAATGATCTTTGGAAGTGTCCTGAGAGTGTGTAAGTACAATAGTGTTGGAAACAGAAATGTGGCATTTATTTCTTGGGCCAAATATCAAGAGGCAAGCAGGGAGTTAAAAGGATAGTACAGAAACTGTGTTATTTAAATGTATTTAGTGGGTAATGCTGATGAGTGGTGAGGGCATTATTGAAAAGCTTTTGTTACAGGGAAGGATAAAAATAGAATTAATATCTCCCACAGGCAATTACTTTTAAAAATCACAGCTTGTTCCCTGTCTCAGGAGCTTGGTGGGATGATGGAGCTCTTGTATGGGAACAGAAAGGACCAACAGGAGAAAACTCAACTCCTGCTTTGTGCCAGATTTCTCTGTGTGAAAATTCCCTCTCCCCACCACAGCTTGCTCTTGCCTTTGCAAGACCAGGAGAAGGCAGCTCGAGGGGTTCCAAGGGCCCATGCACACACAGCAGCCCTGGGCAGCCCAAAGCAGGGGGCACGTGGTGAGTGCTGGCTGCTGCTGCCAGAGCGTGGGATGCAGGGCTTCTGCAAAGGCACCTCTGGCTTCAGGCAGCCTCTGGGATGGGCAGTGCACAAACCCCCTCCCACATCACCCCACCACACTGAGGCCATGTCTAGCAGCTTTGTGACTGTCTGTCAGTGCACTCCAGATAGTAGCAATGGCTAGAGCTGGTCCTTCTAAATCCCAACTACAATGGGATTTAACCTAAATTCCACCTAAAGGCACCTAAATCCTAGAGAACCACTTAGGCTCCTGCCTAGACCTGTGTGGCATGACCCCTGTGCCACGTCTCTGTCACGGAGTGACCCCAGGCAGCAGCCAAGCCCCACACAGGCACTTACTCAGGGCCCCAGCAGTGGGATCAGGGAGAGAATCACGAGGGTGAGAGGTGGAAAAACTCATGGGTTGAGACAAAGAGGAAATTAACTCTACCCCACGTCCTGCCCTCTGCCAGGGTGTGTCTCCAGCTTCAGCCTGAGCTGGTTGGGGCAGCACTGTCAGATTGCTGGCAGGTCTGTTCCTTGCTCAGCCACCCCACATCCTTCTCCCAGCAGAATGCTTGGGCTGCAAAGCCCTCAAGATTTCTCAGCAAATAAAAAAAGTAGGGGGAAATCACATGGAATCAAATGGAACCTCTAATTCCATTTGAGACTTAATTTTCTGACTTCCTTTCTTGATGTTTCTAAAAGTATGTCATTCCTTGAAGCAAGATCTGACATAGAATTTTGTTTTGCCTTTTTCATCTAAAATCTCAGAGGAAAATCTGGACTTTCATGGATAAAGAGAACAGGGCTTCAGCACTAAACCAGAAAAAATAATTAAAAAAATCAATGTGTATTTATGAAATATTCCAATATAACTTAAACCCTTGTCTTCCAACAGAAAAATATTTTGACCAAGAATCTCCACCCAGCCTTTTGTGTGATCTCTGGCATCACCTGCCAAGAGCACAATGTAACAGAGGAAAACAAGCTCTGTAACCACAAGCTGCCTATCTCTCTTTTTGCTTGCAAGGAGCCGCTCTTTAGTCACTACTGCGGCAGCAATAATAATTGCCAAGAATTTGCATTTCTACTTATCCTAAAGCTTGGTATTTCAAAGCAGACACTTCAGAGAACTAATTAGCACAGCGGTTCATTAAATCTAAAACATGCTCTGGATGGAGCATCCAGACTCTCAACCCATTTCCCAAAGGCAAACGCCTCCCTGCCCCCTTGTGCAGTGTGATTCCCGAGCTGCAGGAGCGTAGGGAATGCCGCTTTGTGTCATCCCCCGGGCTTCTACAGCCGCCTGGGGGACAAGGAGTGGGGCAGAACCCCCAGCACAGCCTCGCAGAGGGGCAGGGACAGGGGCTGGGCTCCTCCATCCCCTGCCTGTGCTCCTGCACAGGGACAGCGCTGCCAAAACCGCCCTGCGGAGCCGAGCGCAGCCTGCAGCCAGCGTGCGTCTGCGGAGAGGAAACCGCAGGGGAAGTGCGGCAGCTCTGTGCTCGCATTCTGCTCTTATTCTTTCTCAGAACCTAAGGAAATGGCTGTGGCTTTGTGTGGAAGTTAATTAATGATAGTAAATAATATTCCTTTGTGCTAGGAGTGAATAGCTCCCTTTATTGGGGGCTCTCAGCGTGCCTAATGCTCTGCATTTAATCCAGCTTCCCAGCTAAAGCTAGCTGAATTATTCATTGCAAATAAATTATCTGAAGAATACACTCCTGTTTTTCGCTGCCTGCGAGCCCAGCCCGCTCTCTTTGATGCCCTTCTCCACAGCCAGCAGTGTCTTGGCAGCAATTTGGGCAAGAGCCCGGCGGTGGGGCTGGCTCACCGCGTGTGGGGCTCAGTCCCGCGGCTGCTCCTGCCCTGAGCCAGCCCCGAGGGGCCGAGGGGCAACAGGCAATGCTGGCCGTGCTCCTCCTCTGCCCGCACACACGAGTGCACGCACATGCATATGCATATGGAGCTTTTCTGGCGCTCACCAAGTGCCCAGACTCCAATTAAGACCAATTTTGTATGGTAAATCGGCAAAAAAGGGGATCAGACCGCATCCTTCTGGACTGATTATTGGTATAATGTTCAATGTTACATACAGAATGCATCCACTCCCTGATATTCAGGCAAATGAAAACCTCTCCCCCATGCCCTCAGCCAGTGAAAAGCTCTGACTGCTCAAAGATGTGAGCTCCCTTGCTCCAGGAAAGCAGCAGGCTTTGTGACCTGACTGCTCGAGGTCCTGCAAGGGCCCACAGCACACAGCTTCAGGCCTGGGCACTTTGGGATGCCAGGGCTTTTTGGGTGCCCTGGGCCTGGGAGGGCGCAGGTTGGAAACTTTGGTTGTGGTTTCAGCCAAGCCTTCACCAGCATTTTGTTGCAGGTGCAGGTTTGGAACAAAGCCCCAGAGGACCTTTCCCATGCAGGCAGAGCTCAGCCTTGACTCACTGCTACAGCAAGTCCAAGAGGTCTAAATCTGGTGTGGACCCAAAAGCTTTTTGCACCATTCCCCTGCATGGAAATGTGCAGGCATCACCTGAGCAAGGAGGCAAAGCCACCACCACAGCTGGTGCTCCTCTCCCATGTCCTCAGTGCTTGTCCCCAAGGAGGGAGAAGGGGGCAGAGCCAGTGCTGGCACCAGCCCCAGTGCTGCAGGGAGGCTCTTCCCACGTGGATATCCATCACAACATGGAGCAGATGCATGAGGCAGCCCTGTCCTCATCTTCCCACCTCCAGAAGAAGTTGTTGCTCTGGATAATTTTGTCAAGAGCATTGGCTACTTTAGTATTTAGCGTGTGTCTGAGTGTTCTTGAGCAATGAACCACCCAGATCTGGGGTGCCACTGGGGAGCCTCTCCAGGAGGGCTCTATGTTAGGAGCTGGGCATGGATGTTCCCCAGTCAACAGCTGAAACCAAAGTGTCACCTCTAGGTTAAATATCGTGGTAAATAAATATATGACTGAAAATTATGATTTCCAAGCTTTTAACTTAAAAAGATCTGCTTGCTGATTTTTGTTGTTTTGTCTATTTATTTTAAAATACGAGCTCACCTTGGTGTGAACTTTTTGGATTTTTCTTTAAAAAGATCGTTCTATGCAAATTCTTTTCCTTTGGAAATAGCTACGGCAAAAAAAAAAAAAAAAGGAAAATAAATCATAGGTGCATATTTTTATCAGTTCCTTGTAATCAATAACACCCACCTAAAAAAAGCTGAAATCAGCAAGGGAACAGGCTGAATCTGTAATTGTTGGGCTGATATTTTGTAATTATATTTACTGACAGGAAAATAAAGTAATCCTGCCTCAAACCTGATGGGTTATTTTGGGTTTGTGGGGTGGTCGCCCCAAGGCCCTCCAAGCACTGCACGAGGAGAGCGCTCAGACACCTGGGCTGGGCTCAGTGGGGGTGTGATGCTCAAGGGATGACAAGAGTAAGGATTCTCCATGCCAGGAATGGGCTTCCCAAATGTGCTCCTTTCCTGAGTTCCCTTTTCAGTTGATCCATGTAGGATTTTGACTTCTAAATGTATGGAAATCCATGGTGAAATAGCTCCTCCTCCCTCCCCAGGTACTCACCTGCTGGAGCTGAACCCTGACCTGCTGGGTCTGATACATTCCATGTTGGGGACTTCACTTGTTCCAGTGCCACCTGGAGAGGAGATCAAAGAGACTGGCAGAAACAAAGGAGCTGTGGGCTTGTGACAACAGAATGATGGGGAGTTCTTCCAGTGGAGGTGACAACTGTGTTACTGGAGCCACTTTGTCACTGGGCATGGAAGGAGCATCAGGATCTGGTGGTTTACACTGCTAACTGATGACTGCAGGTGTGATGGACTCTCCTATGAGCTAAATGATCCATGTCAAGAGTCATCTTTTCTCTTCAAGGATGGGATCTAAGCATTCCTAAAAGAAGGGGAAGTATGGGGATTGTATAAAGGCCATAAATACCTTGGAACAACCCATGGGACAGTCGGACCTGCTCTGCACCTACATTGTGTGGGTCTCCTCACCCTGAGGCAGGGCTGAGATTTTGTTCACTGAGACCTGTTTTCAGAGTTATGGCTTTTATGGCCTTTTTGAATGTGAGGAAAGTGAAGAATTTACACAGTAAAAATTCTTGGCAAAGTCCAAGCCCTCAGTTTCTGTGTAGTAAACCAATTACTGTGTGTGTTGAATTTACATACTTCAGACAAGTCGACAGTAAATTCATATCCCAAGGTAAAAAAATGGAAAAAATTCAGACTTTGGCTTTGCCAAACATTTTATTGGACAAATCCTTCTCTTTAAAAAAAAAAATAAATTATTATTATATCTAGACAGGATGCATAAGTATTGAATACTTTTTATTATTTCTTATACCATAAAAGAATATTTTGGAAGTCTCTATCAAATAATAGATAGACCTCTGTAATATAAATTAAATTTTTTAATGAAATCTTCATAGGAATAATTTTTTTTCAATAAACCAGGAACATCTGGTATGGTTTCTAATTTATTTAGAAAATAGGCACGGCTCCAGCCCAGTAAGGAATTTAAGTGCATAAGCAATTTTATTGGGCTTCTCTGGGACTATTTACACATAGAAGCTAAGCCCAAGCCCAGGAACTCTGCTGAAGGTAGTCTTCCAGACTCCTCATCTATCTCTGGATGAAAAGCATGACATCATTTAGATGCTGCACATTTCTGCAAGTATATGGACATTCAGTAGAGGGATGGCAATGCCATGGAAGTGTTCAGATGGGCCTGAGCAATGAAGAAAATCATCCAATGACAGCCATCTGTGGAGACCAAGTCCTTCTTGGAAAGATGACTTTGGGCCATGAACTTCCTTGTCTGCTTGGTCACCTCAGGTTCCTTGAGTCATGAACATCTGTGGACTCAAGTCATGACACTTGTGGTGTCAGATGTCCCTTTCCTGAGCAGTTGTGCCCACAAAACAATTAAGTTTAGCCCTGCCTCCTGTCTGCCACCTCCACCTAGTCAGGCCCCACCTCTGCTAAGGGAACTTCCAATGGTCTTTTCTGTGGTGTTTCAGGTAAAAACCATTTCTTCAGGGAAAACATTTAAGTCATAGTTATTAAGTCATCATTATTAAGTCATATTAACAGAGCTGCTGTTGCCTTCTCAAGGTCAGGCTGCACATGAGCTGCTCCCTGCAGCAAATGGTGACTGACCCCTGGGTGACTTTGACTGGATTTGGGGAGGGATTTCATCCCTCTCCTGCACTAGGTCCTTTTCAAGCAGTTTACACTACATCTGTGCAAGCTGTCCATGGAGCACTCGACATTTTAAACCCTCGTTCTTGTTCAAATCTGCTCTCTCTGTTGTGGGGCAGCCACTTGCACACAGGGCTGGCACACACGTGAGCAGCTCACGCGGCTGGCACTGCTCCTTCCAGCTCATCAGGAGTGACATCCGCCAGGCACATATACACACACACATGGAAAATGGGTCTCCCCAGTATCTGGCATTGGCTACTCAGTGTGCCCCAGAGCTGGCCCCACTTCCCCCAGGTGCTGGCACTGGCACCCTCCAGTCTCTGAGGTTTGTGGTCTCATTCCAGCTGCTGGCACTTGGCTCAGTTGCAGCTGCTCATTTGTCCAGCTTGAAGGTTGGTGCTGCTCTCTCACATGGACTCAGAGTAGAGGGTGTGCTCACACAGAAAGGCAACTGAGAGAATGAAACAGCGATTATTATTAGTAATACATAATTAGTTACATCATTACCTCCGAATATCGAGTAATAGTAGGGCAGGCTGTGGCAATGAGGTACAGAGCTAGGTCAGAGGATTGTGTTCAACCAGCCAGCTGCCACCCACACCAGCCCCTTCAATCCCCTTTCCCTCTCTTTTTTGTTCTGGTTCCTCCCCTGTCCATCTTAATCCCTCCCTGTCCCTGCCTTTGATCCTTACCCTAAACATCCCATGATAAGCCTGTCACAGTGCTACAGCCCACATGGAACACCTCCTAAGAGGTTGTCCATACAGCATCCTCAAACACTTTTCCCCCACAGCCCCTCATGTTCCTGCAGGGTCCCACTAATGCCTTGGAGGGGTTCACCCAGGAACCCTGAGCTGACTCCTCTCCTCTGACAGCCCAAGGGAAAGGGATGGGGCTGCCTTGGTGTAGGTGGACTGACTGGGATACTACAGCCAGCATTGCCCTTTGATTCCTGTGGGGATCCTCTTGAGTGCAGGCTTCAGTCACCAGTGGGTCACTCTCCGCTTTCTTTAAAGACAGGTCACTCTGTCTTTATCAGCCCTCACCATCAGGTCACTGTCTGAACTCTCAGCTGGGATGGTGTAGCCTCAGCTGTGCACCCTGGCAGCACATTCCTGTCCCTTCCCTCCCTGGCTGGCAGACCACCGAGCCCCCCTACCCATCCCAGCCTCTGGGACAGCCGGGAACCCTGTGGAAACTCTAAAAAGCCAAGAGGAGGAGGAGGATGAGAGCCTTGCCTTCAATGGTCATATCAGAATTATTGCCGAGCCTGAGAGCAGATTTGTAGCACATTGACAGAAATAGTTTGTGACATGAGAATCAAGTGCAGATAAATAATTTCTGTACTGGAAACGCCTCTCCCATGCAGGGTCACAGAATGGCTAAATTCTGAAATATTTAACTTAATGAAACTGGCAGCAGCTACCGAGTACTTGTCCTCGAGGAACTGCTGACATTTGCAGTGAAGCCACAATGAAACCGACAAAACAGGGCCTGGAGCAAACCTACTATCAAGGAAAAATGACAGTCCAGACTGCATTGTGCATATCTATAAAACACAAACGATGTCTAAAACCTTTAGGCCTTGTGTGCCAACCATGCTTTAACAGAAATATCCAACACCTTTAACCAAAGAATCTTCCCCTTTGGACACCGGGGGGTCAATCAGTTTAGCTCGACAGTGGCCTCGATGCAGAGATGTTGGTAACTAATCCTGGGAGCGAGTGAAACCATGCAAGCACGTCTGTGGCAGGGAGAGCTGCCTCCCTTCCCCTGACGCTGGTGTGAGGCTCTGCTCAGCCGGCAGACATCACGCTCCAGTGCCTCTCACACTTGGCAGGAGCGAAGGACTCTTCCACGCGGAAGTGGCCGTGCACAAATGCCAAAAATTTGTTTTTTGCAAACCAGCCCCTTGCTCAGCCTCTTCCTACATCAGGCCCTTCCCTCACGGATTTTCCCAGTGTGGCTGGTGCCTTGGGTCACCCTCCAGATGTGAGTGCTTGAGGATGGCCACAGGTGTCTGGACTGAGGCTATGTCCTTAGGCATGGTCAGGTATTCCAAACACAGGATATGGAGAAATGCTAGATACTGAGGGAAAATGTATCTTAGTCTCTGCTCCAAATATATGTTTATTGGGACAACCTGAAGCCTGGATATAAGACCACAGCCTTTTCTGGTTTCTTAGACCTTTTCTGGGTTATTTAAGACATCACCATCAATACTCTTGGGCACATGATGTGAGAAAAGACAAGTGGTGCAAAACAGGCAGCACAGGAGGCAAAGAAATTTGCCCAATATCATAGAGTAGATAATGAGTAGATCTAGAAATGAGATGTCAACTACCAGGTCCGGGGACCACATATGTCGCCAGAATGAAACAGGGTGTGAAACGGCAGCTATTAACAGAAGTCCAGTGATTCAGAGTTTTGGATAGAGTGACACCTTCAGTTTAAAGGTCATGCTTCATTTCCTAGATCTATAATCTGTTTCTCTTGAGCTCTACAAGCTCCTTTAGACAAGGATTAGATGGTACATGTCTTCCCTTCTTCTGAACTGGCCTCTGCTAGGGAGATAAAACTTGCAGGGATGAAGCAATAGCATTTATGAGGTTGAAGAAGAAGAATGGAAGAGCCCAGAAAAAAACCCCAAAAAACCACCAAACCAAAAAACTGAAAAAACCTTCAAAGTAGGCTGAGAACAAACTGATCTAAATTTACATTATAGTAATCTCTGAAATTACCTGAAAGGAATGATGGCTTGCACTTGTGAAACAGAGGCAGGATGCTCATTAACAATGAGAACATTAACCCCTGTGGGACAGAAATCCAAGTAGTGAGGTAATTTGTCA